AGATTCAACGAACACTTTCTTGACTTGAGATTCAACGAACACTTTCTTGACTTGAGATTCAACGAACACTTTCTTGACTTGAGATTCAACGAACACTTTCTTGACTTGAGATTCAACGAACACTTTCTTGACTTGAGATTCAATGAACACTTTCTTGACTTGAGATTCAACGAACACTTTCTTGACTTGAGATTCAACGAACACTTTCTTGACTTGAGATTCAACGAACACTTTCTTGACTTGAGATTCAACGAACACTTTCTAGACTTGAGATTCAACGAACACTTTCTTGACTTGAGATTCAACGAACACTTTCTTGACTTGAGATTCAATGAACACTTTCTTGACTTGAGATTCAACGAACACTTTCTTGACTTGAGATTCAACGAACACTTTCTTGACTTGAGATTCAACGAACACTTTCTTGACTTGAGATTCAACGAACACTTTCTTGACTTGAGATTCAACGAACACTTTCTTGACTTGAGATTCAACGAACACTTTCTTGACTTGAGATTCAACGAACACTTTCTTGACTTGAGATTCAATGAACACTTTCTTGACTTGAGATTCAATGAACACTTTCTTGACTTGAGATTCAACGAACACTTTCTTGACTTGAGATTCAACGAACACTTTCTTGACTTGAGATTCAACGAACACTTTCTTGACTTGAGATTCAACGAACACTTTCTTGACTTGAGATTCAACGAACACTTTCTTGACTTGAGATTCAATGAACACTTTCTTGACTTGAGATTCAACGAACACTTTCTTGACTTGAGATTCAACGAACACTTTCTTGACTTGAGATTCAACGAACACTTTCTAGACTTGAGATTCAACGAACACTTTCTTGACTTGAGATTCAACGAACACTTTCTTGACTTGAGATTCAACGAACACTTTCTTGACTTGAGATTCAACGAACACTTTCTTGACTTGAGATTCAACGAACACTTTCTTGACTTGAGATTCAACGAACACTTTCTTGACTTGAGATTCAACGAACACTTTCTTGACTTGAGATTCAATGAACACTTTCTTGACTTGAGATTCAACGAACACTTTCTTGACTTGAGATTCAACGAACACTTTCTTGACTTGAGATTCAACGAACACTTTCTTGACTTGAGATTCAACGAACACTTTCTAGACTTGAGATTCAACGAACACTTTCTTGACTTGAGATTCAACGAACACTTTCTTGACTTGAGATTCAACGAACACTTTCTTGACTTGAGATTCAACGAACACTTTCTTGACTTGAGATTCAACGAACACTTTCTTGACTTGAGATTCAACGAACACTTTCTTGACTTGAGATTCAATGAACACTTTCTTGACTTGAGATTCAACGAACACTTTCTTGACTTGAGATTCAACGAACACTTTCTTGACTTGAGATTCAACGAACACTTTCTTGACTTGAGATTCAACGAACACTTTCTAGACTTGAGATTCAACGAACACTTTCTTGACTTGAGATTCAACGAACACTTTCTTGACTTGAGATTCAACGAACACTTTCTTGACTTGAGATTCAACTTTCTTGCTCTTAAGATTTTCCCTCTTTTTAAACTTTGATTAAAAACTTTTCTTGAGCTGCTTTTGTTTACAGACATCAAAAATAGTTTCAGTTGCATTATTGAATTCAATGAAATAAAACAAAACTGCACAAGCTTTAACTTCAGTGTTTCAGTAAATTAATCCATGTAGTAAAACTAAAAACCTGGGTAAACAGTGTAATATAAACTTTGCTAACTAATGAAGTAAAATCATTTATTCAAGATTTAATCAATAGTTTTTTTTCTGCACTTCACAATTTTACGATTCGCTGTGCTCTGACATTACATGAGTACTATTTTAATAATGTTATGAGGTTTTGCAACTATATTAAATGATGAATGGCCTTTTTTTCAATTTTTTTCAATTTTTTAGGCACCACAAGCCATAAATAATACTGCAACAGCTTCATATGCTTCTAGAAGTGTTTATTTGGTGGCACAAGATCAACATACAACATACTTGAAATACATGTAAAAGCCCTTGAAATGTTACAACTTATTTCATAAATTTTTTGATTTGATTCGTATCCTCCACTTCCTACTTATCTTAAAGCCAACGAAGACCTTCATATCAAACTTTCATCAAATGCATACACTATTCTTCGTTGCAGGATTCGATGTAAAAAGCAGCTACTTTTAAACAAACAGCTTTCAACTTTAAATTTTAACTTAGGAACAGCAACCATGCAAGGAGTCAAATTGTAAATAAAAAGTTTATGTTTTATGAAAAACATTCAAGAATGTCTGCTAAAGTTAAACATAAGTTTTCAACAATTTAAAGTTTATAATAACTATAAAGTTTATAGAAAAATCGTAATCATTTGGATCTTCTATAACTTGTTTGCATTTTTTAGCACAAGTGTTCATTGCCTCTAAAATAAAACATTCTTCTAAGTTTGTGGTTTTTATTGTTTGTATTGTATTGCTAATAAATATTAAACACTTTTAAGATACTAAAACATAATAAACAAATCAGCATATTATTTATATACAAAGAAATTAAAAATATTAAAACAATTTAATACTTTATTTAGCATGCTTAAGCAACCAAATTATGTTTGCTGTATATGAGTTATGTAAGATAATTCAAAACAAAAATTAAATAAAATGTCTTACACAGATAACATAAGATTTATAAAATTTAACACAAATAACTTTATTTATTGTTATTGTATTTAAGTTTAAGAATGTTTCGGATTATACTATTTACAGTTTACTTAGTTGCTAATGTTAATTACCTTGTTTGACAGTGTTTAGAAAACATGGTATTTAATATTGAGTTTTAGTTTGCACAAAAAAAAATTAGCTATATCATGGGAAAGATAATTAAATTCTACATAAATTTGATCAAAATAATAAACTTTCTAACTGTTTTTTCTATAGGAACCACATTGATAAATAATAGCAATTAGCCTTGGATTAAAGCTCCTAAAACTAATACGCATTTGTTTGACCTACAATATGGCGTCGGAATAACACTGTTTATATCGTGGCGTCAATCGGACACTATCCGTTGTACTTTTTGTATTATTGTACATTGTGAATACTTTTAACGGCAAAATAAACTAATAAAACTAATTAAAAAAAACTAAAACCTTATTACAATATTTTAACCTTTTAGTACAATATTTTAATCTTTTTTTTTTTAAATTATTTTATAACTTTTTTTTTTATTTCTTAACATCATAAAATTGTCTTTTTTTAAATGTTTCGGTAATAATGTTAATTTATGCCTTCTTCTTGCTCCAGCCAATTGTACTTTTTACATTGTTGTACATTGTGAATATTTTTAACGACGAAATAAACTAATAAAACTGTTGAACACATCAAAATAACTCCATTTTCAGCTATGAATGTTCGTTTAGCTGCACAAGTTTTAAGTAATTCCTGCAGTACTGCATTAGAAATCTATGCGCCATCAGATACTTCAGGAACTGCACAGTTTTGCAAATATTTTAATGATTTTTTTGATTGCTTAAATGTTCGTAATAAAAATGATTATATATTAAAACGAAAC